AAAGAGTCGGACACGACTGAGCAACTGAACTGAACTGAGCTAATGAAAAGAGGAATAGCTGTATATTTGTTAAAATTTTAAGAAAAAAATGAAAAGACTGTACCTGTATAGAAAACATAAATTGCATAGATACAAGAGAATGAACGTGGCAATGCAGTGTCTGAAATATCATAGTATGGAAATGCAGAAGGCAAGAGACATGAAATAATAAATTCACTATAATCAACTTTAGGTATATCATAACTATAGTACTGGGAAATCTCCTGACATATTATAAATGAAGGTAAAGTACTTGGGAGGAAGTTTCAGGAAAGAATACTAGCATTTATTAAAATTTTAGAAAACAGAGTTAAAAGATCTAAATAATTGAAATTACTTTGGTTCAAAAGAAATGGATAAATAATATATTAAAAGTCATTTGGAGGGAATAGTAAGTTTATTATTTGACTCACAAATGGAAACTATTGGTGGAGATATCAGGATTAAATTAATTCTGATTTGACTAATGTTGTTCAAAATAGGCCCTGCTCAGTATACAGTATGCTGTTTGTGAAGTAGTGACCTCTTTATGAATGAATGGAGCATGACCGTTTATATGGTGCTGTGGATGGGTTCCTGCTGTGCTCTGGGAATGTGTTTTATCTCAATGATATTACAGGCTGTCCCTAATCTCAGATTGTTTCACCTTGTGAAATAATTCATCATATTAATGTTCTGTTGTTTATACCATTCTATTGTTATCCATTTCTCCTGAGGACATTTTTTAGACAATATAAACTGTAGCCCTGAGTTTTAACACTAAGTATTACCTAAGCAAGGTTTTTAATTTATTAGAAACCTTTAGAGATTCTCACCTGGAGTCTGTAAACTGGGCTGATGACTCCCAAATCACCTTCCATTAGTTATCAAAACATCTTCTGAAGTCATCCAGTGTAGTTGATTAGACCATGATTATCCTGTGGCCTTCCTTGATTTGGATCTCATGATAAATTGAATATCACATATGTAGCACATTGTCACAAGCTACAGAAATATAGAAAGAAATTTGTCTTAGTTTCTCTTGAAAGTTCCTGAGGGAAAGAGCTGGGATGTCGTATCATTTCTCTCTAGTCCTACATATAACCTCCCCCAAATTCCATGGCTGTAAACAACAAATTATAGTTTCTCAGGGTTTTGCAAATTGGCTGCGCAGTTCTGCTGGTCTCATCTGAGTTTGCCCACGAGGGCATTCAGGTGGTGTTCTGCAAAGTCTGCTGGGGTGGGCAGCGGGGCATGGCTCATGATTATCTGGGGAGGTTGATTGGGACTGATATTTTTCAAAAAAGACTGTGTTCTTATTTTTTTATTTGAAGATATCTTGATAGGATATGATAATTTTAAGAAAAGTTAGATAATACAATAATGCAGATTAGAGAAATTACTTTTAAAAGGTCTAACAAAAGTACCAGTAAGTGTTGTGAAGGATCTGGTACAAGTACAGTTTTCTCTGCCTCCTCTTCTGAGTTTCTCTTCCCTGTGCCTGAGCTTGTCCCCTGGGAACTCCTGGGGTATTACCTATGGGGTAATAGGTGTATGGTTGAAGGTCTTTTCTAGAACCATTGATCATAATCGCTGCTTCCCCGCTCCACTGCTTGAAAACTGGGGTGCTGATGTTAGCTGACATCTCCATTCCAGAGTCCCTTAAACAAAGAAACACAGAGGAGACAGATGCATGTTTTTAGTTTAGATGTATTTAAGTTATAGAAGTAATTACTTCTTTAATTTAAATAAATCTTTAAATATTGCTTATAATGACAATGAAAAAAATACAAACATGTAGAAAGATAGATTCTCTCCCTTCAGGCATTTCATATGCTACTACCCCAGAAATAGTTTGTATCTTTTCACATACTTTGAAATGATTTACATTCTTTTGCATCCTTTTCTTTGTATAAACTAACATAAAATATGTGGGAGTTGATTTGCTTTATGAAACTGGCTTTAAACTGTACACATTCCTAAGCAACTTGTTTTTATTGTTTTAAAATGTGTTATGGATATATCTCCATGCAAATGAACTTAGATCTATGTTGTATATTTTCATAAATACATACCTGTACCATAGTGTGAATATGCCATAATTTATTTATTCCCCTGTGAAGTGCATTTAGTTTTATAGATTATTTACAGAGTTTTACAACCACAAACTCTTTGGTGAAATAAACAATTATCATGCACTTTCTGATAAAATAAACCTCTTTTTACATATATACATAACTATGAGTGTTTTCATTTATGTATTATAATTTATCAGAAATAATATTGCTGAGTCAGAGGGTCAGTATATGTTCTATTATAATAAATATTTCTGAATTACTTCTAAAAAGGTGGCTGAAGAAATTTTTCAGTAGGTTGAGAGTATTTTTCCTATAACCTTACCATATAAATATTTTAAAATTATTTTATTTTATTTTTATTGAACATAGACATATATGGTATAAAGAGCAAATTAATACCATAAGACAAGTGTCCTTCTTTTCTTCTTGTTCTGCTTCTATTGTGGACCCACTTTTAACTCTTAGATGTTTATTTTGGCATGCACATCTATAAATCTAAACATAGAAGATACTTGCATAGTTCTCTTTTAGCTTTTAAATTGGAAGCATCATCTCTTGACCTCTCTCTAAGACATTGTGCTTTATTCCCAAGACCCATCACATTCTCACAGTAGAGGCAGGCAGATATTTCAAATGTTGATGTATACTCTGCACTGATATTTTTATGATTGTGTTAATTAGCCTTTTTCATAGTAGAATCATAAGAAAGCCAACTTTTATTTTGTTTCTAGAATCAATAATTGGCTTGTTTTCTGCTTGCTTTGCTTTCTCTGTACCCATCACTAATGCTTCACCAAAACGTGCCTTAAAATATTAAAACTTTCAATAACTAACACACATGGCGTTCTTCTATCTTACTTTAATTTATATTTTATACTTTATTTCCTTTAAAAAGTCTTAGAGACTTCTCTCCTGTAGCCCTTTGTCCTCTTGCTCCGGTCTTAACTCCTTGGTTTCCACTCTTTTCCTCAGCTGTCTGCTGAGACCATCCTTTACCTGTCATCCCGAGGCTTATGTTTTCTTTCTTCTTATGGGGGATTATCTGTTTCCTGAATCTCAACTCTCTCCAGTTTGGGGTTTACTTACTTATTTTGGTGGAGGACCTCCACTAGGAGTTTTCTGAAAAAGAGTGCTTGCCAGGTACATTTTTTGAGTCCTCTCAAGTATCTTGACTACTCCTTGTGCTGTGTGCTAAGTCGCTTCAGTAGTGTCCTACTCTTTGCGGTCTTCTGGACTGTAGCCCGCCAGGCTCCTCTGTCCATGGGATTCTCCAGGCAAGAACACCAGAGTGGGTTGCCATGCCCTCCTCCAGGGGATTTCCTGGCCCCTGATCGAACTTCTGTCTCCTGCATTGCCAGCTGGGTTCTTTACCGCTGGCACCACCTGGGAAACCCGATTGACCCTTAAGGTGTAGAGTGAAGTCGCTCAGTTGTGTCTGACTCTTTGTGACCCTGTGGACTGTATCCTACCAGGCTCCTCTGTCCATGGGATTCTCCAGGCAAGAATACTGGAGTGGGTTGCTATTTCCTTCTCCGGGGGATCTTTCTGACTCAGGGATCGAATCCAGGTTTCCCACATAGTGGGCAGATGCTTTACCCTCTGAGCCACCTGGGAAGCCCATTTTAGTTGGGTGTAAAATTCTAAATTAAAAAAATAAATAAATAAAATTCTAGGTTAGAAGCAATCTTCAGTTAAAATTTTGAAAGAACTTCTCCTGTGTCTTCTGAGGCCAAGCATTGCTGCTGAGAAATCAGATGATAATTTGGTTTGCTATTTTTGTCTCTGAAAGCTTTTAAAGATGTTTTCTTTATTACCACTGTTGTAAAATTTTGTGATAATGTGTCTTGAATAATGGGCTTCCCTGGTAGCTCAGCTGGTAAAGAATCCACCTGCAATTCAGGAGACAATGGTTCAATTCCTGAGTCAGGAAGATCCCCTGGAGAAGGGATAGGCTGCCCACTCCAGTATTCTTGGGCTGCCCTGGTGGCTCAGATGGTAAAGAATCTGCCTGCAATGCGGGAGACCTCAGTTGGATCCCTGGGTTGGGATGATCCCTGGCGAAGGTAAAGGTTACCCACTTTAATATTCTTGCCTAGAGAATTTCATGGCCTGGAGGGCCACAGTCCATGGGGTCATAAAGAGTTGGACACAACCGAGTGACTAAACACAGCACAGCCTTGCATTATACTGGACATTTAATGGATCCTTCTAATCTGGAAGGCAATTATGTTTTTCTATTCTTATTATTTTGGCCTTGGTCCTCCTTGATTGATACTTTAATGTTTAAATGGCATGAAATGTTCACTTTTTTGGTATCTCTATCTTCAAGGTCTAGATTTCAGTTTTCTCTACCTTGTTAAATCCACTTATCACTCATCAGTTCATTTTGCATCTTCCTTTAAAAATGTATTGTCTTCTCTCTTTGTTTAGCCAATTCTTTGACAAAAGAAAAGTACCACAATATAATTTTAGTGAGAACTTGAGGGAAAGTGAAGGTAAATATAAGTATTCAGTCTTGTTTTATCAGAAGACAGCAAGAATGTCTTAAAAACATTTAACAAATTGCTCATGAAGAAGGTAGCAGTTAGTTTTAAGCTGCCGAAACATAATATAACATACTTTGCTTGTGTTTTTCCTTAATTTATATGAATTAATAGTGTTAAATCAGTGCTTGAAATTTCTTTTTTCTATAAACATTGTCACACTTCCTTTACTTGTTTAGTTAAAACATTTCTTAAAATCCAGCTTCATAACTTCCCTTCTGTTTGCTCACAAGAGATCTATTTCCAAAAACCATTTTTATTCTGTACACTGATCTTGAGACAGTCTTTCACATAATGATGAATAGTAAGTCTTTATCATTCTGTAGCATGCTTATGAAGTAATCGTTTTTTTTAAACATAGTGCCAAGGTCAGTAGATCATCCTAAGTGGAACTGGCGGACTAAACCAGAAAGCCGTGATTTTGATGAATTGAACCACATCCTTCAAGAGAGCAAGAAACTGGGAAAAGCCCTTGAGAATCTCTCTCGAAGTAAGTTCATTTACTTGATTGTAATCGGAATTCCTAACCAATATTAAAGTAGAAACATTCATTACCATTACCAATAGCCTACTTCCAACATCCTCATTATAATCCCATGGGAGGCTGCAGAGTTCTCGAGCATGAGGTTGGAGATGAGGGCCGATCATGTGTGTTACATGGATTCATGGGAAGACCGGTTCTATAGAGTAGAAAGAGCTGTAGACCCCTCCCCACAATGGCTGTTTGACTCCAGTCTCCCTCCAAGGCCTCTGTTCATTACCCAGGTCAACGGTACACCTAATGGTGTCTTATTCATTCTTCTCTTCTGAACCCTGTTGCGTGTCATCCCAGTTATTGCACAAACCCGTTGCTTCCTTGAGTTTTTGATGTCTCTAAACTTCTCAATAGTGACTGGGCCAGGTTCTTCTTAGAATCCTCTCAGAACTTAGCAGTATACCTTTTCGTAAAAGCAGTGATCTGTAATCCAAGGGCCTGAGTTAGCAGTTTTGCCACCTATGAGGTTAATAACCTTAGATAAATCATTAAACCTATCATTAAACCTGTATGAGCCTTGGTCCTCTCATCTTCAGATCAGGAAGACATGGTTCCATCTCCTTCTTCTGATGGGTGGGAATGTTTAAAATGATATATTTCAGGTAGACAAATATTTGATTTGATCAATGCATTCTATATATATTGTATAGTATATACATAAAATATATATTTATATGTAAATATATATATGTATACACTTTGCAGTTTTTGTAGTGAGTTCAAAGTATTTCTGTCTTTCTCTGATTCTTAAATATCTTTCAATTTTAAAAATTAGGCATCTCTGGAAGCATATTAATGCTATAGTCTCACTAAAATTTTCTTTTGGTGTGATAGCATATTAAAGGTTCATATTAAAATAGAATACTAGTAAATTCTAGTAGATTATGTTTTAGGATCAGTCTGTTTTTTAAAATAGTAGTGTTACTAGTTTCTTGATATTTTTCCAAGTTAAAAATTTCCCTTATTATATTTTGGAAAAATTGTTTATATAAATACCTATGTGTTTATATATTATGCTATAGTATAATTATATATTTATATACTATATTTTATTTTTTATGGCTTTTTATAGAGAGATTTAGCTTTTTCATACTTCTTAATTTATAATTCACCAGAGCCACTAGATTTTTTATTTAACCTTTGTGTAGTTAGCCTATATCAATGTTAACTTGGCTTCTGATAGATTCTCATAATTTTGCCATTAGTAGGAACTCTTTGGTTGAGATTCAAGAAAATCCTGCTTTTGGCTAGGTTTACTTTTGGACCGAATAATGATAAAATGAGTTTTCAGCTAATTATTATGTTCATGAAAAGAACCTTACCTATTAGTAGGTCAGAGGCTTTAGTGTGGGTCTGTATGTGTATATGTGTGTGTGTGTATATATATGCTTTGGTGTCACTTGATCATTATAAAGGGGCTCTGTTTTTTGTGGCAGTAATGGTGATGTTTATGTGGGGTAAGGGAGAAGTTGGTCACACAGGGAGAGGTTGCTTATTTCTCTGGGTAAGTTTCTGAGTCTCTTTTGGAACAAAAGGCTACTTTCTTGGATGACTTGAGTTTCTGTGATTTTTGCTATCTGAGATTTAATATTAACTTCTTGTCTTATGTCCAACATGTGACTAACTACTCGGTTACCAGTTCACCTGAGATGATCATTGTAAATTAGTAGAAATATCCCCGGTGGCTCAGCAGTAAAGAGTATGCCTAAGTGTAGACGATGAAGGAGTTGTGGGTTTGATCCCTGGGTCAGGAAGATCCCTTGGGGAAGGAAATGGCAACTCACTCCGGTATTCTTGCCTGGGAAAGTCCATGGCCTGAGGAGCCTGGTTGGTTACAGTTTGAGGGGCTGCAGAGAGTTGGACATGAGGGAACACGCATGAGCACAATGTTTATTTAGTGATCTCGCTGCCCAGAGTTGAACTATTTAATCTCAAACTGTTCATCCATCTTCCTGAAGCTAGATGTCAATTCATTCCTGTTTGATCTTGTTTGACTTTTATAATAGACTTTGACTTGGTAACTCTTTCTCTAAAATAGTGATGACTTTATTAACCATTGTTTTATTTAATAGGAAGACTTAGGGAATGGAATCTTTCCTCCAGTTACGGTCAAAAGGAATGTTCCTTGTCTTACTATTGTGGACTGTTTTCCTGTACCATGGAAAGGTTGGAAGTTTTTAGTGAGTGCCTAGTTTTCATACAGTCTCTGATAGAATTCTCTCTGGTAAGGCTGGTCTGTGCTTTATCCTAGTTTTGCTTCCTAAATGATAATACATTATTTAAAGTATTTGTTATTAGTAGAGATTGACAGCAAAAAATCATTTATATCCCTCAAAATGGTAGAATTATCTCATCTCTACAGCTGTCGGCTTATACAGACCTAAATGCAACCCCCTCCTTCCTTCTCCCTCTCTCACTCTTTCAAATAATAACAGGAAAGATTTGAAATTCTCTCCAGTTTGCAGATAGGAATTGTGCATCAGTAGCAACTGTACCATGCTCTTTTTCTGGCTTTTTGCAAACCTCTCAGCTTAATGCTTTATCTTAAAGTCAGACATGACCTGTGACCCTCTTAATGCTGTGTTCCTTACCTCAAGGTAGACGTGTTAGAACAGTTTGAGTGGCCTGGAATATTACCAAATATTAGTTTCATGACCTTGGGAATAAACCTTTCTGTGTTTCTGTCACCTTTACTGTAAAGTTGGAACAATCATGGTACTATTTCTGAAGGTTTTATGACAATCACATGAGATGTTGTGTCTAAAGTGTTTAATATCATGCCTGGTATGAAATAACTGCCAATTAAACTTCAGATATAACTGCCAATTAAACATTATAGAGGGGGCTTTCCTGATAGCTAAGCTGGTAAAGAATTCGCCTACAGTGCAGGAGACCCTGGTTTGATTCTGGTTCAGGAAGATTCCCTTGGAGAAGGGATAGGCGACCCACTCCAGTATTCTTGGGCTTTGCTGGTGGCTCAGCCAGTAAAGAATCTGCCTGCAATGTGGGAGACCTGGGTTCGATCCCTGGTTTGGGAAGATCCCCTGGAGGAGAGCATGACAATACACTCCAGTATTCTTGCCTGGAGAATTCCATGGACAGAGGGGCCTGGTGGACTACGGTCCATGGGGTCGCAAAGAGTTGGACATGACTGACTGATTAAGCACAGCACACACAGCACAAACGTTAGATATACTATTCCATTTCTACTGTTGTATAACAAATTACCAAAAACTTGGTAGCTTTAAAAAGTACAAATTTATTATCTTACTATTTTTGTGTTTCAGGAGTTTGAGTGCAGGTTAGTTGGGTCCTCTGCTCAGGGTCTGGGCAAGCTGAAATTAAGGTGCTGGTGGGGGCTGGGGCCACTCCTGGGTCTTCTAAGCTCATACACATTGTTGGTCAAATTCAGTGCTTGCTCTTGCAACACTGAGTCCCCTTTTTTCTCATTGGCTGTTGTCTGGGAGTGTTCTTAGCTCATTCCCAGGCCTTGCCTTCTGCTCTCCTTCTCTCACAACAGTGAGCTGTTTCTTCCTTGAGGCCACTGGGGAGTATCTCTCTGAAGCTTTGCCTTCTTTAAAAGGGCTCATTTGATTAGGTCAGGACCACCAGGATTTACTTCGGATTTACTCAGTCTGCTGGTTAGTAACCAAATCAAGAGAGAGATACCCTTTCATCTTCAGTGGTTCCACCATGCAGACTCAAAAGGAAAAGACTGCACAGGAGTGTATCTTGGAAGCCATCCTGATTTCTGCCTGCCACAGATATTATTAGTGTTATTACTATTTATCCCTGACAGCCAATAACATACTTCAGCTGAGCCCTGCAAAACAGAAATGTACCATGTGTGATTTTATATGTTCAAAATAGGCATATTACAAAAAAGCAAGAAACCTGTAAAATTAATTTTAATATAATATTAACCTACTATATCTAAATTGTTATCATTTAATTTATATTCCATCTAAAAATTATTATTGAGGTGTTTTATATTGTTTTTCTTTCATACTGAGTCTTCAAAAGTCTGTTGTGAATTTTATTCTACAGCACCCCTCAGCATGGACAAGCCACATTTCAAATGTTCGTTAGCCATCTGATGAGTAGCTCCCATGATGAACACCACAGTTCTAACTGACGTTAAAACAAACACACACAACCTTCTCTTGAGGTTGAGTTCCCTCAGGCAGCATCAGAATTCCTTCTTCCTCTTTCATCCAAGTTTTCAAAAAGAATAGTTAACGCGCATCTTCTCCGCCTGCTCGGGTTCCTCTCACTCCTCAGTATAGTTATATTATTGGACCTGTCATTCTGCTCAGACTTTTCTCACTATGATCACCACCAGTTGAATCCAAATTGTCAAACTCAGCGAACACTCTTTCTCATTTGCAAAAATTGCTTTGGTTGTTTTAACACCAGTGATGACTCTGTCTGTCTTCAAACCCTTGATGTTTTAATTTCTGGAACCTGGCCTTCATTTGATGGTCTTTGGATGCCCTGCACATCATTTCTTGTAGGTTTCATTTTAATATGCCTCTTTCTTTCCTGCTGCTCTAGATGTTTTTCATCCTCTATTCTGTTCTTTCAACTGTTCTCTGTGTCAAGCCTTATCCTCCCTCACAGACTTAATTATCACCCCTACACAGCTAATTCAAATGAGTGTATTTCCTATCCAGACTGTTCATGATTTTATACAAGGTGGTGGCTATCCCACTGCCATGTCAAACTCAATTTTTCTAAGTAGATCATACTTCCTTTACCATTGCTTTTTCTCGCTTGCTTTGTCTTAGCTGGTGACATCTACCTACTGGTTCAGCCAAACTGGACTCATCTTTCTAACTTCTTTTTTTTTAAGATTTTTTGATGTGAGCCATTTTTAAAGTCTTTGAGTTAGTTACAGTATTGCTTCTATTTTATGTTTTGTTTTTTTTGACCATGAGGCATGTCGGATTTTAACTCTTCAACCAAGTATCTAACCCGCACTCCATGCGTTAGAAGGCAGAGTGTTTTTAAAATGTTTATTATCTACTTATTTTTGGCTGCACTGGGTCTTTGTTGCTATGCACGGGCTTTCCTGAGTTTCGGGAGCAGGGGCCGCTCTTCATTGCTGTGAGTGGACTTCTCAATGTTGCAGGCTAGAGGCACATGGGCTCAGTATTTGCTGCTTAGGGGCTTATTGCTCTGCGGCATGTGGGATCTTCCTGGACCAGGGATTGAATTCATGCCCCCTGCATTCTTGGGCAGATTATCAACCACTGGACCACCAGGGAAATCCCTCTCCATAACTGTTTAATAATTAATTCCCAAGTCTTGAGATTTCCCCGCTCTCTTGGTGGGGCATCCCAGGTGGCGCTAGTGGTAAAGAATCTGCCTGCCATGCAGGTTCATAAGTGCAGGAGACATAAGAGACATGGGTTCAATCCTGGGGTCGGGAAGATCCCCTGGAGAAGGAAATGGCAACCCACTCCAGTATTCTTGCCTGGAAAATCCCATGGACAGAGTAGCCTGGCAAGTTACAGCCCACGGGGTTGCACATTGTTGGACACAACTGAATTGACTTAGCACGCATGCACTCTCTCTTGGGTGTGATTCTCTTCCCTGCCCCCATTAGTACCCTGTAATTCACACTCAACATCACTGACCAGACCATTCGTTTATCCATTTACATGTTCCATTTTTATTTCATTTCATTCCTGCCCCATGACAGGAAAAAAACAAGTGTAGTCCTTACCTGAATTGAACCTGTGGCTCAAGGGCTTGCCATAACTTTATGTTAGGAGAGTCTCATGGCCAACATCTCTGTGGCTTAATACCATGTAAGTCTTTAGTCATTGCATAGAGTGTGCCTGGTGCTGGAGAAGACTCTTGAGAATCCCTTGGAAAGCAAGGAGATCAAACCAGTCTTCAAGGAAATCAAACCAGTCCTCAAGGAATCCTCAAGGAAATCAACCTTGAATATTCGTTCTTTCTCGGGACTGGGTTCTCTCCCCCTCTTTCTGTGCTTCCATGCTTTTCTCTGTGCACACTTACATGCTGTGATCTACTTTCAGAGATCACTGGACTCTGCACTGTGGGGAGGCAGGGGAACCCAGGACTTGGACTCCCCCGCATGTAGTACAGTGATTAGCACATAACTCAGTCCTAAGAATTTATGCTTTCAAATTATGGCGCTGGAAAAGACGCTTGAGTGTCCCTTGGACTGCAAGGAGATCAAATCAGTCAGTCCTAAAGGAAATCAACCCTGAATATTCACCGGAAGGATTGATGCTGAAGCTGAAGCTCCAATACTTTGGCCACCTGATCGAAGAGTTGACTCATTGGAAAAGACCCTGATGCTGGGAAAGATTGAGGGCGGGAGAAGGCAGGGTGGCAGTGGATGAGATGGTTGGATGGCATCACTGACTGAGTGGACATGAGTTTGAGCAAACTCTGGGAGATAGTGAAGGGCAGGGAAGCCTGGCATGCTGCAGTTCATGGGGTCACAGAGTCAGACATGACTTAGTGACTGAACAAGACAGAAATCTATTAAATGGTTAGCCAACGACTAGTGAGCCCAAAGCTTTTCTGAGTCTAATCTCTCTGAAGGGAGGCAGTGATAGGACGGGTATCTTTAGTCCATTTAGACATCAATCTGCAGTTTGCAGTTCAGGTGAAACACTGGCTGGAGCTTTTCCAGGGAAAATGTCCAGCTGTTGGGAGAACAAAGGGCTGATATTTTATGCTCTGTGACTGATAATAGCTGTCCAGAATCAATTGAGAAAAACAACAACAACAACAACAAAGAACTTTTTGAGTGCATCAATCATGAACATCCTACAAAAGTCTCTTCTGACAGACAGCCTGAGGAGTTAGAGGATAACAACCTCTGAGTAAAAACGGAAGCAGATATTGTGGCAGTTGTTTGTTCATTTATTTATCTAGTCTTCAGATATTTCTGTAGGAGTGTGAGGTGAACAGCCTTTGCATGATTCAGATATGGGAATCTTTAGTATACAGGGAAAAAGAGCCCACCCACCCGGCACATACATCATCAACCTTTAAGATACAGGTAGAAAAGTGATCTAGCTGAGAACACTGAAAAAGAGTTTTCAGAGAGATAAGATGAAAATCAAGATAGAATGTTTTAGAAAAATCAAGGATGGAAAGTACTTCAGAAAATCTAACTGTCTGAAGTGGCAGATAAGTTGGTAAAAAAAAAAGTGGATAGGAAACATATTCATTGTGTGTAGCCATGTCCAAGCTAAGTTTCCATTGTTTACTGCCATGGGAGTGTTAATAGGAAAAGTTGGAAATTAAGTATCTTTTATTAGAGAAAGAAAAAGGGATAAATCATGACACATTCATACAATGGTATACTTTTTTTTTAACTTTTTAAAGGAATTTATTTTAATGGTCTACTTTATACTCTTTAAAAATGATACTGTACAAAATATTTACTAATATAAAAATATGTTTTATACACAAAACATAACAAAACAGTGTGTGTGCCTCCAATTTTGTTTTATACGTGCATAGAGAAGCATAAAACATTTGTATGTATACTTATATATGCTGATAAAATTATTTGAAAGAATTCACAAGAAGCCTTTATCATTCTTTGTCTTTAACATGTCTTCATAGCAACCATTTTCTTCATCTTCGTTTTCCACTGATAAAATTTCTTGGTCCTGCAAAAGCTTCCTGATACCTGCTAAAATGGACAGTGGTCAGAGGATGCAGGGACTAGCTCTTGAGTGAGGCTTAAGTTCTGTGTGACATGCATTTTGATAATACAAGGCCACTAAGGCCTTTTGACTTATTTGCTAGTTCTCAGCTACACTCTAGGTAGGTGAAGTATTACTGCTGTCTGTATGAATAATGGATTCATAAGTCTGAAGTGTGAAAAAAAATTTTTAAGATCAACTGGTAACTTTCTAAAAAAATGAGTGAAGAGGCTCTTTTTGCAGGGCCAAGGCAAGGGGAAGAGTACCCTTGGCCTTTCAGGAAAGGACTCACTGCCCACCCCCCAAAGAAGAAGGTCTTTGTGAAGGAGACAAAGGAGAATAGAAAACGTAAGGATGCATTTCAAGAAAAGACTGGAGTTAACAGAGTCTGTCATCACAGAGAGATAAATTAAGGACTAAAACTTTTATGTTACTAACTTAGAACAATTTTAGAAGAATAATAAAGACAAAAATTGGACTAAGGAGTGTGTGGATAGAAGGGGAGCTTGTGAGGAGGAATCTTGATCCATTGGCCCCAAGAAGCTGTTGATCTCAGGGAACACGTAACACAATACTTTAAGTTCCCCTGTCTGTGTCCTCATCTGGAAAATAAGGGAATTAAAATACATGATCTTCAGCCATCTTTCTGCCTTAATTTTTTAACCACTCTAGGAATCTGAATCAGTTCTTAGAAAAGAACACTGTTGTAACAAGCTAAGCTGCACTTGATTGTCATTACCACATAAAGACAATTTCTCTACAGTCGTCTTTGCAAGTTTGTTCTGCATTTAACAAGCAGTATGGTACTTGTTTTTTGTTGCATCATTTCCATTGTTTCAGCAGCTATTATAGTTGTCTTAAATTCCTAATTTGTTTTCATTAGTAGAAAGAAAGTACCACATTATTTTGAAGTACCCTTAACAAGAAAAAAATAGCATGGAAAATATACTAGTTCTACAAATAGAACTTTTGTTTTTAAGACTGGGTTATTTAGGATTACTTCTAAAACTTTTTTGTCTTTCTTGATTCCCAGGTATTGCAATTTCAGATGAACTCGATAAGGTACGTTGAACTATCCATCTAGTGAGAATAAAATATAGAACTTACATTTTAATCCAATGTCTAAATGAAAGAGTTTCAGAAACATAAAGTGTTTAAATTTAATTTATTTGGGTGCTAACATTTGAAAACTTTCAAAGTTATATGCTTTTATGAAAATTATTGCATGAAATATATGACATCACCTATTCTTCTGAGTTGAGAGTTTTAAAATTTAGTTAGAGAAAACTGAATCACTGTAGTCACTGAATCACTATACTAATAATGAAAACTGATATTCTATAAACTGTTTGGGTTCTGCCTGTGTCTATATGATGATGAGATAGAACTTTCCTTCGGAAACCTTACTAAGATTTTTTTTTTTTAATTCCAAGATGCCAAGGGAATATTCCCCTTGCACTGGGTGATAGTTGTGAAGGTGGTGAAAAGTGATGTGACTAGGAATATATTTTAACAGTAGTGTCAATGGAACTTGCTAGTAGTTCAGTTGTAGAAGAAATCAGTCAATGGTGAGTCCTAGGTTTGGGAAATGAGCAAGTAGGTACGTTTTGGTGCCATTCAGCAAAATTGGAAAACAGCAAATTTTGCAGGTTGAGATAGCATCAAGATTTCTGTTTTGGATTGTTTAGTTTGTCTACGTAACATATTTATATGAGTTGTTGCTCATGAGGGAGGTTTGATTTGAAGTTATGCATCTAGGCATCATTGAAATAGAAGTTCTCATTTTTTTAATCTTAGAACTCCTTTACACTCCCCAAAATTATGTAGAGGACTTTAAAAGCTTTAATTTGTATAGGTTTTATTTACCAATATTTGTCATGTTAGAAGTTAAAATTGATAAAAATTTTACATATATTCATTAAAAATTACTGTGATAAACCATACATTAACAAAAATAACCTTTTTATGAAGAATGCTTTGTTTTCCAAAACAGGATATCTGTGAGAAAGTGATATTGTTTACATTTTTGAAAATCTCTTTAATGTCTGGTTTAATGTTTGGGTTTTTATATCTGCTTCTGCACTGTCTTATAATATGTTATTTTGGCTTTCAAAAAATCTGACATCAGATTATAAAAAAGAGAAGTACCTCAAAATAGGCAAAAATATTTGGTGAACATTGGTTCAGATGTCTCTCTAATCAGAAAACATATTGAAATTTGGCTTGGTATCTAAATGTATAGGTAGAAAGAAAGTGATAGAAAGTACAGTACAAAAAATGGGATCATATAAATCATGACATCTTACAATAATAAACTATAAGTTAATAATTATAATTTACAAAAGCAATGAAGTTAGTATCCTTCTATTTCAAGTAAGACTATATACCTTTTGAGTTTGGTACCAAAAGCATATTTCTGATTCTCTAAATAAATGAATTTGTGAATGTACTTTTAAATATGGATTTACTTTGATAAATAATCATAATATTTTTTAATTAACAAATTTATTTTAATTGGAGGCTAATTACTTTGCAATATTGTAATGGTTTTGCCATACATTGACATGAATCAGCCATGGGTGTACATGTGTCCCCGATCCTGAACCCCCCTCCCATCACTCAGGATCGTCCCAGTGCACCGGCCCTGAGTGCCCTGTCTTATGCATCAAACCTGGACTGGCGATCTATTTCACATATGATAAACCGTCATAATATTTTAAAATCGTTAAAATTTCAGTCTATACCAACTCTGTGCAAAACTTGGTCTTGACTGTGTGCCATTGTTGTCGTTCAGGTCGCCAAGTCATGTCTGACTCCTTGCGACCCCATAGACTGCAGCACACCAGGCTTCCCTGCTCTTCACTATCTCCCAGAGTTTGCTCATACTCATGTCCATTGAGTTGATGATGTCATCTAACCATTTTTATCATCTGTCAACCCCTTCCCCTCCTCCCCTCAATCTTTTGTAACATCAGGGACTTTTTCAGTGAGTTGGTTTTTTGCATCAGGTGGCCAAAGTACTGAAGCTTCAACTTCCCAGTCAGTCCTTCCAATGAATATTCAGGGCTGATTTCCTTGAGGATTGACCGGTTTGATCACCAAGCAAATAGAATAAGTAACAGATGAGGTCTCCTGGCTTTGTCCTGCTTTTCTAGTCCTCCTCTGTCCATCACTGTTACTTGCCCCAGTGGGTCTCCTCCATCTTATATGGTGACTTAGCTTATAACTTGTAGAAACTTAATAATCTCTATCTTGTATTTATTTTTGTGTTCATTCTAAGTACAAAGACATAATTACTATTTCTGGGTTCATTTGCTCCCTCCAGTATGTTCTACAAATCCGTGGCTGCCTGAACCCTGAATTAGCTTGAATGATTGCTTGGACTTTGTCCTTCCCTTTTTCCCCTGGGCTCTCTGACTTGCAGCCTGGTTGCTTTCTATGTTAACCTATCTTTGGTGAGCTAAAGAACATACTAATTATTCTTTGAACTGAAAATGGATTTCGGCCTCACCGGATAAAATTGTGGAAGTCTTGACACTTATTTAAATATCCTCCTCAGGATGCACCCCCGCCTCCTCTCACCTCTCTTCAAAGCACTAGCTTGGGAGAGTTTCCATTTAAATAAGTTGCATAACACTGCACACTTTTACTACTTACTAATGTTCCTGTTGTTGAAGACTTCATGGAAATTTTATTATTTTTCATTTTTATTGAGGAAGATGCCAACAATTATCATAAATAAGCTTTTATTGAAAAAACATTATGTCAATGCAAAAATTTGCTCTTACTTTCAAACCTGATATTTAGGAGTACGAGGTCATACAGAGGACGCACAGGCTTACAGGACCAAAGCCAGGATGCTTTGTTTGCCTAGGGAAAAAAACCCCTGGATAAGAGAGAGAGAGAGAGAGAGAGAGAGAGAGAGAGAGAGAGAGAAAGAGAGAGAGAGTGCCTGCCTTATGGCGCCCTCTGCTGGCCGTGAAGCTCACAGTCCTGCATTTTTCTCTCTAAGAAAATGTGAATCTCAGGCAGGTATAAAACAGTCAAAAAAAAGGCTCACCATGTGTTGAGCTAGCACCTATTTCTTTAATGTAGTATATAGAAATCAATATATATTCTTCCTTTCAATCTACCATTAAAATTTTGGGGGGTTCACTAAAGGTCTATTTTTCTTAACTTTTTATAAAATACTGATCTTTTACTATCATATTTTAACTCAATTATAATTTCATGAAATTATTTTTTCTGTCACTTTTAAATTTAGTTCATGAATTGTGATGAAGGTTATAAGAGTTATTAATTTTACTTAAAATGGAAAAATAAAACAGAAGCTAATATTTTTAAGACCTTTAAAAAAATAAAGGTCTTATTTATTAGTCTTTCCCTTCTCTTTTCATAGTCACTGTATTGGTTTTCTATTGCTGTTGTAACAAATTGAAATAACACACATTTATTATCCTACAATACTTTAGTTTAAAGGGTAACCATGAGTCTTCCTGGGCTAAAATTAGGTGTAACAGGGCTTTATTCTTTCCTGAAGTTCTAGGGAAAATCTGTCACCTTGTCTTTTCCAGTTTCTAAAGGCTGCAGCACTCCTGGTGCATGATCCCTTTTCTACATCTTTAAAACCAGCAACATCTCATCCCTCTCTAACTGCATCCAGGAAAAGCTGTTCACTTTTCTGGAATCCTGTGATTAGTCTGGGGCCATCCAGCTAATCTGAATAATTTCACCTTTATCTCACTTTTAACCTTAATCATGCAAAGCCCCTTTTGCCATCTAATGTACCATATTCACAGTTTTGAGGATTAGTGTGTGGGCATCTTTGGGAAACCATTATTTTGCTTACTTGGCCACCATCCAAGTTCAGATTTTATGTTGTTGTTCAGTCACTCAATCGTGTCTGACTCTTTGTGCCTCCATGGACTGTAGCATGCCAGGTTTCCCTGTCCTTCACTATTGCCTGGAGTTTGCTTAAACTCATGTCCATTGAGTTGGTGCTGCCATCCAACCATCTCATTCTCTGTTGCCCCCTTCTCCTGCCTTCAGTCTTTCCCAGCATCAGGGTCTTTTCCAGTGAGTCAGTTCTTTGCATCAGGTGACCAAAGTATTGGAGTTTCAGCTTCAGCATCAGTCCTTCCAGTGAATATTCAGGGTTGATTTCCTTTAGGATGGACTGGTTGGCTCTCCTTGCTGTCCAAGGCACTTTAAAGAGTCTTATCCAGCACCAGAGTTTGAAATCATCAGTTCTTTGGTGCTCAGCCTTGTTTATCTATATGAAAGATACCTTTCATATCTTTATCTAATTCTTTAGGCTCCTACCATTCTAATTCATTCTTCAAAATGCCATAGAGTACACTTGGCTGATGCCTTCTTAGTTGCCCTTTAGTAGGGCAGTATGAACCCACTCCAGTACTCTTGCCTGGAAAATCCCATGAACGGAGGAGCCTGGTGGGCTGCGGTCCATGGGGCCGCGAAGAATCGGACACGACTGAGCGACTTTACTTTCACGTTTCACTTTCATGCCTTGGAGAAGGAAATGGCAACCCACTGCAGGGTTTCGGCCTGGAGAATCCCAGGGACGGGGGAGCCTGGTGGGCTGCCGTCTATGGGGTCGCACAGAGTCGGACACGACTAAAGCGACTCAGCAGCAGCAGCAGGGCAGTATGACCCCTCCTTCAACGCCTGTGAAAGTTGGGTGTTTGTGGACTCACCCGTCTCCAGAGAATTGTTTCAACTCATTGGGGGCCATTCCTGCCCAGACATGCTTGGATTGGCGTCACCAATGTCTAACCAAAATGAGGCTCCGAGTTTTCATTTACGTTACAGCGCTTTCTGTGGGATCAGCCTGAGAATAACTTGAGCTGAGTGGGCTGGATGCTTAGCTTTGCTTAGCTTTGTCCCATCTCCTGCTTCTTTCACTGTCTTACAAGCTTCAGTTAGGAGACCCCCATCAGTAAGTCACCTTGCTTATCTGGTTTTAGGGAACCCTACCTAGGGAGGCCTGCTAAAAAAAATTTCAGTGGCTCCCTGCTATTTAACAGGTTAAGTCCAACTTCCTA